TACATAAACATGTGTGTACTCAGTACCGTGCCCTGGGACCAGTGTCAGTAAATCATCACATTGTACAGCACATAAAAAAGAGGAACTGCACTCCTATCCTGGTAAAGAGAGAACAATGGCACCTTGGGCGGAGCATCCAAATCCGGTCTGGATTAATGGCACTACCAAAGCAGACATGCATGGCATTCAGACAGCTCATCAATGTCTGTTTGCAGACACTGCTTTGCAACATTGTTTTCAGACTAAACACAATGCACTGGCCCAGTTCTCTCAGACAGTCATGGTACTCTTTTCATTTAATCAGAATGTGTTTGAGAATAAATCCATATGCATAGAATCAGTTTGATAAATTACCTCCCCCTGCTGGTTACAGTGCCACACTCCAGTTAGGCTACTGTATTGCAATAGAGTAGGACTGAAATAACTGTAGTGGCAGTGGTAGAGCCGTTGAGAGGGGTGGCATCAGCTCTCATCAATCACCCAATCAGATTGGCCTCCAATGTATCACCCCCCCCCCTTTGAGTGATATCAATCAGAGAACACTGAGCACAGTTTTCCAGAATTAACATATGTGATGTAACAATAATTTTAGTAGCTCCCCGAAGTGCAGATGCATCACAACCATTATTACTATGTAATATCTAAATAAATATGTAATTTTCTTACTTTGTGCAATTAGAAATCAGCGACACCCTTCATTTTGCCAATTTTACTGAAAATCATCTAGAAGTCCTTGTCTGCTGGACAGCTGGATTTGGATTCTACACTCATAGTACCCACCAAGTCATAAATCAAGTTATAAACATATGGCGTGCCAGTTAAATACTTGAGTATGAGTAAAACTGAAACGTGAGAAGGTTTCCATGACAACGACCCAAACACACAGACAGAAGCTGGCAGACCACGCAGACTGACACTGTATTTTTAGACCCAGAGTAAAACCCACAGGAGGAATGAACTGCCAGCTATTTCCTTTCTGTGACAAAGGTGTAGTCCCATCATATTTGACTCATACAAGTCTCTAAGAGCTTGCTACTAAGTTTCCTGCATTTTATTGAGAATTAATATCAATTACTTACACAATTAGTACAAAGCAGCTGACATATACACTATATGTGCTCACGATGAGAACATGGTCACGAAAGTGAAGATAAACAGAAAATATGCAGCCTTTAAAATATTTTACGATTTCTTTTTTATGCCAATGTTACAATCATAAATGCACCCATAGCAGGACCAACAACAAGTAAATATGCCCTGCAGAAGCAGTCCTACAGCTCCCATTGTGGGCTGATATATCCCTTTATTACATCTTCCAGATGTGAACAAAATAGCGTCTGGTTTTTGGCAGTCAGTTTGTATTCACGTGGTGCTTTAACACAGAAATCCCACCCCCAAGAAAAGAGCCGTTTTTTCAGTCTTAAGAGGAAGTTTACATGTCTCTAATGTCACTGGAGGCGCTCCAGGTGCACACGCTGATATACTACAGCTTATTACAAAGTGCCAAATTGGATGCAAGACAGCAGTAGGTAATGAAAATATCATACATATGATGCCAAATCTACCACGCAAGGGTTGCATGCAAAGACCACGTCAGAAGCAGGGAGAACAGGCAAAAATAGGGCCGTTTTAAGAAATATCTTTAAAAATTGATGCCTTAGGATAATTCAACAAAACTTGTCTTCTTTTAATAAGTAGAAGGTTCCTTCGAAAAAGAACTGGTAGAAACAACTTGAAGTTTTATTTTTTTAATAAATACAGAGTAGGCGCAAAACAATGCTATGCGCACAGTATATCCCAGCATTTATTTAAATGTAAAGTAAAGCAGTATCGTTTGCTATAGAAGGCACAAACTTCGCAGCCGAGTAGGTCATCGCAATACTTCAGTAGTTTCATGGCCGATTCCAGATGCTAACATCTAAAGGGTTAAAGCAGCAAAAGTCTGACACCCGCCTTTCCCAGACTCCACCTTCCACGTCCATACTCACCTGCGCAGCACATTTTACCCACCAAAAGTGCGCTTCTTTCTTGCAAGCTCATCTCGATCACATAACTAGCCCGTTCATAAAAAAGGTCCTGATTAAAGATGTCATACCGACGCTTCCCTCCGGGAGGCGCAGCAGAATTGCCCGCCATCTCCTAAAGATACAGTAGCGTAAGAAAACTCCAGGCTCGCGCGCCGATTCCTTCGTGGGGCGGCGTGCATATGGGAGGGCAGCCGGTCTCGCGGCAGCGTTTTGTTTTTCCCGAATCTGTTCGTTATTACTAGAGAGGGGAAAAAACACGGAGCTGGATCCGGTTTCAGATGTTGTAATTTCTTCGCATTTGAATGCCCTGCCTTTTCTCCTTCGGGCGCAGACACGCTGCGCACCCTCCCTCTCGTGTCGCCGCCGATCGCACCGAACGCTATTTTTATTTGCGCTGAAACGCGAGCTCTTCGACCAGCCTGACTTAACCTCAGGGTTTGATCTTTGTGTCTGAACAGCCACCACGGGCGAGGTTTCCCGTGTGATCAAAGGCTACCTTCATCATGTTACTCCAATAGACACATAATCCACCTAACGTAATGGGTACATTAATATAAACGTAACCGTAGCACATAGTAATGGTTATAATTATATAGAATGTCTAAATAATTATTTGTATATAAATTTTATGCACAGCACACACACATTTATATTATATAAAAGGTTTTTCGTGAATTTTTAAGGCTTTAAACATATCACAGAGATGCGAGTTCTTTGAGTACATTGAATTTCAGTGTCTAGTTCAAGAATCTAGTTTTTCCAGATGAAATTTCACATGTAAAACCTGCCACACCTGGATTCCATGTTATATACGGGTACATGGGTGCAACCAAGATATTTTAAATATTTTAAAAGACACGCCTCCCTGCCCTGGCCTGGGTGTTTCCTATATTTACATAACATGCTTATTACTACGATGCAAACCTCAAACACCTTTTATTAAATAATAAACATATACTTAAGCATATGATACAAGCGATACAGTACAGTGTTAACTTTTGACTATTAGAGTACTTGCGAACTTTGTCTGCATATTAAAGATGCAGCATTTATTAATTATTCACGCATAATTAATGTATGACAATAAAAAGTATTCACGGACCTCGTCTGACCAGCTTTTGTTATCGTAATCCTGCATTTTTCTTATATTGTCATTCAGGTTTAACTTCCTTCATTACGTGTTTGTAATATTTAAAGAATCCAGCGGTACCAAGTCTCTTTGCCAGGAGATTCTTGTCTCAACGGACATAAACAGAGAATATATATTTCCGTAAAGTCAGTGTGCTGCCTTTCCCGAAACACGTAACAGGCGTTTGTATTGCTAGGGGACTGAGCATGGAGCAAAAACTACTGATCCATTAATCGTATTAGTGCTCTTACAGTTTTTGCACATTTGCCATTGAGTTTCTTTGGATCTCATTTTTGAATGGGAGGTCCAATCGATAAATTATAGAATAAATTCGAATATACTGTATATATATATTTTTTCATAATTACTAGTTTTTTTCTGCCTTAACAGCAAAGTTTTGAACAGCATCAAAACTGCTAAAGAGGAACAGCCATCTAATGTGAACAAAGTGTTTGACATAATAAAATCTTGGGGAAAAAACAATGGACTAAAGACTCACTCCTCAAGAAAAGTCAAAGGGATTGGAACTGCATTATGCTCCAGCATACAATACAAAATGAAATCACTTCCAATGGCAGAAAAAAAGAACATTCTGGATTATAAATAAGAGGAACTAGCAGTGTTTCAGAAACACTGAGTCACCAAACAAAACGTAGCAATATAAAGATATCTCCCACCAAGCACACTTGGAGCAAAGCCTGCCAGATACCTGCTAAACATCTGGCCTCCAGGCAACGTTTGAAGGAATGTCAGATATTTAAAGGTGAAGCGGCCGGGAGTCAAGCTTTGGCAACCATTTTTAACAAGGAGAAGTTCTTCTGTTTTGTTTTTCCTTTATTAAGCATCTGCTTTTAGGGTGTGGCAGCAGACTCCATTATCCATCGCGTGAAGCTGTCACACGGCATTCAGAAGCCTCCACCATAAAGGATTAACCTGCTGAGCAGAGAGATGCAGCTCCACACTGGGATGGAACACAAGTTCACGAGCTCAACCATTATGGGCTTCAAAACAAAATACATCAAACAAACTTCCCAGGCCTAATCCTCACACATAGGCAACGCAGCTTAATGGTTACATGTTACTTGTCAAGCTTTCTGATACCCCAAAATACAGCCTGTCTGCCTTGCCTGTACATTAATTTGGACAAAAACAGATTCTAAATAAATATAGGTAAATATACAGTAATTTGGCTTATTTACACACTGGCCCGCTAATTCTAAGAATTCACACTACTATATACACTAATCTTGATTTAATTAGTAAATCTTGATTTACTAATTATTTCCAACAGAAAATGTCAGATGCATTGTAATAAAGTTCATAAAATCATAGTCCTGAGGCCAAGCCACAGAAATATCAAAGTAGAAAAGTGCTCCTATACCACCATCTCTCCCACTTCTCAACACATGGCCTGACATTTACTAGTCAAATCATATCCTTCAGGACTTTGACTGAATGGCTTACAACAGAGGAACTGTATACCCTTCAGGTGTGGTAACCACGGGCAACAGTCAACAATAGAACACATTTGACCAAACATTTGCTCATATCTATTATATACTTTTAACCTTGACAGCTCTACTTGCTCTTCTATTAAAACAGGTGCAGTACAACAGGGTGTGCTTTTGTACTCGTAAAAGCACATGGCTCCTGTGTTGTTTGCCAATTTACCTAGAGTCTGTGTTTTTAAGGGGACATCACTCACGCAATCGCTGTAATGACGCTTATAATACATAAGCAGAGTTTCCCTTTGTGAAGTTCAACCAGGGGGAAAATGTTAAGCAGCCAGCACGTTAAGCAGTGTTATGTGGAGTAATGAAACTCCTTCCAAACAATCCAACAAAACTGGAACTTAAACAGTTAACCCCACACACAGTGGGTATCAACAGGAAAGCTGGGAGGGAGTAGAGAGAGAGAGAGAGAATTGCGTGCAGAGTGAAGTGTTGAGAAACAAAGTGAGCTGAGGAGCAGCGAGACACGACAGCTGTAATACACCACAGACTATTAAACCGCCGATTCGGTCCTGCTTCTAAGAGCGTAAGTACACCCCCACACGGCAAAATCCTCCGCTGCGCCCTTACCTTCCACCGCCTGCCTCCTGCGTTTCTTCCACTGCCAGACAGCAAGCAGGGTGATGGCATGCCCCAGAACCACCAGGCTGGGGAACGCACTTTCTAGGGTATTCGCCGACATGGGGACTACAGCTCAGCGGGTCGTGTTGCCGGCACGGACAGGTGGGCGGGGAGCAGCGGGAGGTGAGGATGGAGGAGGAGGGGGGAGCAGGGGTGTGGCGCCGGTCTGGGCTTTTAAGTTCTGAAGGCTATCCTTCTGTCGCCTCAGGACCGAGGCTGAGGAGCTGCCTCTCTCGCTGGTTCCGTCCCTCGGGTTACTCTCTGGCAGGCAGAACCTGTCCGGCCACCTCCCCCGCCCCCAGGGGCCCTCCCTCCTGACTCCGTTCCCCCACCTTTTCCTGTTTCTGTTTGGCTGGCGACGACGGCACAGCGGCACACGGATGCCAGTCGAGCTTCAGGCGGCTCGCGGTCGCCGTAGCGGGCCGGGCATCTCTTCTTTCCGAGGCAGAAGGCGTCGGCTTCAGTTCGGCCGGGCAGATTTAATAAAACATGAGGCTTCCCTTCGTCATGCGCAGTGTCTTGGCCTCGGAGAGGCAGCCCCTGTCACCGCAGTAAGTACGATTCCGCAGATTCTCTCAAACACTACTTGCCTGTTGGTTCCTAAAACACTTTCCCTGGCAAGACTCTTGTCAACACCATCCTTCATTACTTCTTTCTAAATGTATTTCTTGTTGAGCAGACTTTTAGTCTATTTTTGTCTGTCTCTGTCTCTCTCTCTCTCACTCAGTTTGTAAACCTAATTCTTCCCATATGCCTAAGCTCTATTCCCACTCTTTGTGATTCCCTTGAAAATCTTCACAGACCTCCTCGCCTTTTCGTTGTTTTGTGCAGATGTTCAGTTACGTCCATTTCACTGTCTGTCTTCCACTGACTGAATGTAGCGTCTTTTTTTAAAAACCTTTATCGGGACAAAGCACACGGTATAAATGTACTGTATTTGCAGCCTTGTTCTTTAAAGAGCTCGTGACAGCAGCCCGGTGGCGGATGCCTGAGAGAGAGCGGATCCCAAAAGGAGAATGACGTACAGCCCATCACACGCTTGGCCCTGTTGCCAAAACTGCACGAGTCAACAGTTCACCACCCTCTCTTTCTAGTGTAAAAAATGTTTAAATATTTACATAAGTGTATCATTTACCATTTCACCCAGCATAGCGATGTCTTATTTTATCTAGATATTCCCTGGATACATTTCCTTGTATTAGATATTTCCTATCTTTTATCTTTCTGCCCATGACCTTGTTTAATCTGCTAAACTTAGCCGAGAGAGAGAGAGAGCGAAACAGAGTCACAGTTTCTGTAAAGTCACCCTTATGACCAGGCAAACAGTCACACCACACCTTCAACAGCTGCAGGACTATAGACACGTGGAGCACCTGCACAAGCGCAAAGGACAGTGCAGACAAACCCCAGCTGCAGAACCATAGACATGTGGAGCACCTGCACATGAGCAAAGGACAGTGCAGACAAACCCCAGCTGCAGGACCATAGACATGTGGAGCACCTGCACATGCGCAAAGGACAGTGCAGACAAGCCCCAGCTGCAGAATCTGTTTCTGACAATGTTAGCGAGGGAGATGAAAAGCTGATTTTATCAGCTACAGCCCAAACCACTGCGAGTTGTCTAGTGGGCAGAAGAGTGTAGAGCACATAAGTTCTTCTTGCCTGACAGAAACACCTGAGGCAGACTGGAAGGTCTGATTCTGAAGCAGAGGAACGTGGGCCTGGACTTGTAGCAGTGTAGAGATGTGACAGAAAGGGGACAGTGCTGGGTATCTCAGCTCTACCTACCATCTCCCTGACCGCTATGAGACGGCACTTTCCCTATAAACGTACCACGTATGGCACTTTTCTTGTGTCCCGGCTTGCAATTAATGCACGGCTTATTAAAGTCACAAATAAGCACAAATACAATGGTGTAAGGCCAGAAGAGCAGAAACTGAAATTACCAGGCTGCATATACTGTAAGTCTGGCTGCAGCACAAGTTCAAGAGATGGGGAAGACAGATTGAATGACCATGAAATAAAGATGGACAGGACAGATGGACGGCTCAGGATATAGAGACAATGCAGGCCACACCCACACAGGTACAGAGATCAGGTAATGCTGCACCACACCCATTTCAGGAATGCCTTTAGGAAAAATGGCAGCTTAAAGATCAAACGCTTTCCCACGTACACCTGCCTAATTGTTGTGCATGTGACATTTTTCTTAAATTTTCCATATTCCATGTAGCACCAATCCCTTGATATACCAAGTTATATTTTCACAAATAAAGTCTCAGAACATACCCAAGGGTGAATGTGGAAGTCACTGAGTGAAATGTTTTTTCTTTCTGGTTCCATAATGTCTGTGAGCACAGCTGCCTGGTGTTTCAGTGACCCAGTGGTCTCAGAGCAGCCCTGTGCCCCTCCCAGGTCCAGCTGTGCTAGAAGCTCCATGCTGCTGTGCAGGATCACGTCACACGCCTTTGTACCTCATGGAAGTGGCAGAGCTACATCACATTGCCCCACCGCTGAAAACACATCCCTCCGAAAATGAGAAAAGCATATGTGTATGGTGTCACCGGCCAGGAGACGCTTCCGACAACGGGACGGCCGCAGAACCTACCGTCCAACGGGCCGAAACACAGGCAACAGCAGAGGTCCATGTCGTGGTGCCCCTCCTGGCCTTCCCAGCAAGCTGTGCCGCAGCTCAGCTACGACTGAGCGCCTGAATGCTGATCAGCAGCAGAAGGGCGTAGCACAGAATAAAAACGGCAGGAAACTCAAAAAAAAAAGAGGAAAACTACCCCAGACGTGTGTAGTCAAGTGCTCTCCATGACGGAAATACTGCCCCGCTCGCGGCGGCTGTTTGGTCACCACAATCCAAAATGCAGAGGCGCTTCCAGATCCTCCAAACACCAGCGGTCATATTAGATTTCTATAAAGATGGAGCATAGCATTCTAAGCTGCCAGTGTCCCTCACAAAGCTCTCTCTGTCCACAGCCGGACACAGCCCAGGCTGGGCTCGCGTGCCACTGCTCTGTTCGACAGCTGTCTGCATAATACACAATTATTTTGATGTTTCGAGGCAACTAACACAGACTCCACAGACTGTGTGCAAAATGCTGATTGTGTCGTAGATGTGACACACTGCTTTCTGTATAATGTATTTCGTCATAATTATCATTCTGCTTCTGCCTATGAGGATCTGATTAACAACTATATAAAAACACATGACCAGAAAAAAGGCAGCTGAAGGGATACACAAAGGATGCGCAATTTTTCAACTCTATTTTTAAAAAGCTAACTTCACGAAAAACATCAATAAGAAAATCATTTGCTGTTTGATTTATATAGTCAAATAAATATAACTATGGCACAATTTCTTCTTGAACGGGAAACACAACTTAATTTTTTAATATTCTCATAATAATTGCTAAAAATTAGATAATTATACAAGTGTTATTTTTAGAACTTCTGCATAGGAATAGCTCATGAGCATTTGTTGAACCATGAGTGAGGCAGCCACTGCTTTCAAATTAAGATATTATAATAATATCCTTACAGTTAGAATAGTTTGGTTGTAAAATGATGGAGGAAACTGTGAACTTGGTGATGTGGTTAATCTTGATCCTTCAAACCAGTCACCAGTCACATGTACTCACACACACATACTGTGACCAGTTCCACCAAAAATCACTGCAGGTCAATAAGCTCTCACAGCTAGAGGCCTCCCGCCACTTCACAAAGATGGAAAAGGTCCCACCTGACGTAATATCATGGATCTTATTTCACTGGATCTATGGGAATCTTTTTCCAGAAAAATAAGTTCCTACCTTGAGCGTGTTGAATCATATTCTCCATGACAGCTGTACCCTAAAGGACACCACAGCCCGTCTGCGGCTCCCCCCCCCGCGTGGATTCCCAGGCTGAGAGCTTCGCTTGGCTCTGCTGGATTTCTGTGATCTCCTGTGTCTGAAGCTGGGTGCCCACAGGCCCTGTTTTGTTATTGCCCACTTTGTGTAAGAGTGACAAAACTTCTCCTAATACTTGTTTAAAAAGGCAGGAAACAATGATGTGTGAGGTGATTCAGCGCAGGCTCTCCCAGGCCACTTAGTCATCTACATGCACATGGGCACTTATCAGGTGGCTAACTAGGAAAATGAGAAATCCTTGTCCCTTAAATGGGAACCTGTACATCGACTGCTCACAGGAAGTACACCCCCTTACACCTCCTAACTGATGAAGGAGTACTCCTTGCTCACAGGAAGTACACCCCCTTACACCTCCTAAATGATGGAGTACTCCTTGCTCACAGGAAGTACACCTCCTTACACATCCTAACCGATGAAGGAGTACTCCTTACTCACAGGAAGTACACCTCCTTATACCTCCTAACTGATGGAGTACTCCTTACTCACAGGAAGTACACCCCCTTACACCTCTTAACTGATGGAGTACTCCTTACTCACAGGAAGTACACCCCCTTATACCTCCTAACTGATGGAATACTCCTTACTCACAGGAAGTACACCCCCTTACACCTCCTAACTGATGGAGTACTCCTTACTCACAGGAACTACACCTCCTTACACCTCCTAACTGATGAAGGAGTACTCCTTACTCACAGGAAGTACACCTCCTTACACCTCCTAACTGATGAAGTACTCCTTACTCACATACTCACAGGAAGTACACCTTGTTACCGATGAGGTCCCTGTTTTTTTCAGGGAGACTTTTGAGTGTCTGGCCTTTGCGAGCTCCGGACAGCTAAATTATAAGCATGAACCACATCGCAATTAAGGCCATGAATACATCCTGTGTGGATTGAACATAACAACTAATAAAAATGAGTCAGCACTTATAAGACTGCCTCAGCTCTCAGCCTGGCACGTCTCCAGAGCACCATCAATGGAATTTTAAATAGGAATAACGGCAGAAGGCAGACATCCTCTCAGCAGGTGGCAGCATGGTCTCTCAGCAAAGGGCTGGGGTGGGGGCCTGGACATCACTCCTGTAATCATTTATTACATCAATTATAGATGTATAGATTATTATTTATATAGAATATTATACAAATTAAAGGTACATAATGTCTGGCGATTATAATTCATAAAGATATTACATGTAAAATACTGTGAATGTTTGATCAGATCTTTCATCCAGGAAAGGAATGTGGCAATCCTGGATCCCTTCTCAGAATGCTAGGGGACAAGGCAGGGGACACTGTGGACGGGATACCAGCCACATGTACTCACACACACAACTGAACAAAGCACTGTGCTAAATGAAAGTAGAATGACTGAGTGAAATGCTATAGTTTGATTTGAAAATTCAACATTATAACGTTCTGTGAACCATTACCCATCCAGGAGAAGTCCTGACTTATGCTTTGCAGCCACAAAATCTAAGAATTCTTAAATGTGGGTAATTTAGAGATTCCGCTCTGCCTAAACCTGATCAGAGTAAGCAGAGCATCCAAACTCCACAAGCTCCTTAACCCTCCCATCCTGCATATGAGGTCACACAGTTATCTGTCCACTGAACCACAATGATGCCTTCAAAAATTCAGGGTCAGGATAATCCAGAAAATATCCTGTGGGGTATAACAGAGCATTGGCGCATCACAGGGGCCACCATGGACGTAAAGGCACAGATGTACATGTTACAAAATGGTAAGATCACATGCGTAAACAGAGAGGGACTCACATGCACCCACACATAAACAGCTGGATTCACATCAGTAAATCTGAGGAGGCAATGTGACACTCATGAGATCACAGGACTTCCACCAATAGCAAAAGCGGCTGTGAAGCACCCTAACAGGCCACTCATTCTTCTGCTCGCTCAGTGCCCTCTTGATATTTGCTGGCTATGAAAGAGAAGAAGCAGGAGACCTGCATGCCTGCATAAACATTTGCAGCATACATACATTACTGCAGCCTCAAGTCACTGTTGGCAAGCTCACGGATCATCTGACTGCAAATATTCCCCCAACAAACTCACGCAGTTCTGATCCTTATTTGAGCATATTGTAGTTGACAATGCCAACAAAACACTTATAGAGCACAGGACCATCCCTCGCGCAGGGAAGCAAATCTATTTTTAGAAAGCTCTCAGCAGAAGAGCCAGGCTTTAACAGGCAATAGAGACTTTGGGGACTAACAGCATGCTTCACCATTCCCAAAGCTGACACAGTGGGCAGAAGATGTGACTTCCCACCCAATGCTTCGGCTGGATAATACACTCAAGCAGCAGAAATGGAGGAGATAGGGCACTGGCTCCGGGAACAATCATTGACTTAATATAAGGATTCTGTTATAGATCATTTACTTCAGAGCTGTATCTTCCTAGTATTCTGTTAACAATAAGGGTGCTAGGCTCAAAATATAGGATTCATGGTGCCTCAGTAGCAGTGCTGTGGTCTGCCAGCCCCAGGGATGGGGGGCAGAATCTCATCTCTGTTTTGTGTGATTGGAAGTCGCATGCGTCACAGATCACAGCACCACACAAATCAAATCAGGAGAAGATGAATTGTACTACTGTACATATGCTCATTACAACAAATATTTTCTTATTTCTAATATTGATGTAAAATCTTAGTTACTTCTCAAGTGACTCACTGAAATCTCACATATAAATCACAAATTTGTCTTTTGCTTGTGGTTTCTACTCAGAACAGCAATTTAAGGACGGTCCAAAAATGTCAGCTATGACCAGTAAAATTTTCCTATGGTAAATGACTCATAAGCAGCTAAAACCCAAATAAAACCCGCGGAAGATGGCCACAGCCTGAAAGAGAAGCAGAGAAATCACAGGGGAGGACAGAAGCAGAATTGGAAGAGAGAACTGGAAGTAGAACTTGAATGCTTTCAGACCTTCTGTGGTGTTTGGGTGGGGCCTTTCTCCAGCATCCTCCACCTGCACGTGGCTTTTAGAGAGCTCGTCTTCCACAGGTTTGAAGTCAAGGGAGGCCCCCACATGCTTCTCAAGCTGGAAAGGGAATCCTGTCTCAGTGTGCAGATTCTGTTTTTGTGTCTCTTTACATTTCCCAAGAGATTCTTCCTCCTGAGCTTCAGTGTCAGGTGCTGCTGCAGTTGTCATAGGTGCTTCAGGTGGCTCAATGTCACAGTTTTCAGGAATGATCATTTTCTTTGACTCCCCAAGGACTGGCAATGCATCTGGGACAGCTTTAGACTCCCCCAGTTGCGCTTCTTTCAACACGGATGTCTCTACCTCCTGTGAAGATGCTTCAGAAGACTCAGTGATCTCTTTGACTTCAGCAGACTTCATTTCAGTCGTATTTTGGATTTTGTTGGTTTGTA